GTCCCGGGCAGGGTCCCGAGCCCCGGGCAGGGTCCCGAGCCCCGGCAGCGCTGCCGGGCTGCCCGGCCGCCCCACGGCCGCTGGATTTCGGCCGCTCCCCGCTCCCGCCGCGCTGCGGGGATGTCACCGCGCGGTGCTGTTGGTCTTCTTTTTATCTCCTGCTTCCTTCCCCTTAGCAAACTTCTGCTTTTCCCTGGCAGAAGAGGCTGCAAGTCACGAGGCTGTGTACGCTGTTTTCAGCCGGCAGCTCGTGTAAGCCTGTAAGGATTTTTCTTTTGTAAATAGGACGTCCACGGCTAGCACATCTGCCTGCTGACGCTGTTATTGTTGTAAAAAATGTTCTTTGAAGGACAGCTGCCTGTGTTGGATGTAAGCCCATCTGAAGCATGTTTGGAACCTATTTCCTGTCCGCTTTTCCAGTTTTAGCGTCTTGGTTTGAGCCTTTATCCTGGATCACACGTGTTTTAGTGGTGGGCTTGGCAGTGCTGTCTCAATGGTTTGACTTGATGGTCTTAAAAGCCTTTTCCAACCTGAATGATTCTGAGATTCTCTCCCATCTGCCTCTTGTGTGGCAGGTTTCCATACAGGCAAGGGGCTCCCATCAGGCTGCGTGCAATCCAAATCCCAGCACTTAGTGTAGCTGGCAGAGGCTCAGTTCTCTGTCAATGAAGTTTCAAATAATAATAGCAGCTGTTGAGTGGTTCTGGTGGGAAGGTCTGATGGCCCATAAAGTTTAACATCACAATGAATACAGTGACAGGGCTGCTGCTTGGTAAATGTGGCCATGTGCACTGAGCAATGAAAGGACCACTCACTTCTAGTTCTCTTTGACTTGTGTGGATTCTTCAGGAGATTTGCCTGAGTGGAAAGACTCAAAATCTATTAACCTATTCTGTGTCATAAAGCAGTAAATTCACTTTCTTTTTAGATGGGATTGCAGAGAAAAGTACTGACCTTATTTCTGGCCACAAGTATTTTCCAGGTGACATTTTCTCAACTCAGATTATCTCTTGTGCACAGCTTCAGAGTGATTTTCACAGTAGTGATTATTGGGAAGGTGTCAATCCAGTAAACAGTCTGTATTGCTACTGTACAGTCTTCAGTTGGAATAAATTTTATTACACCAGTCCAGACTTGGAACACCTGTGACCCATCTGCAGCCCCAGTTGGGCAAGGAGTGCCTGCGAGGGCAGGAGTGGATTTGGGCAGAAACAGAATCCTCAGAAGGCTGATCTGGAGAATGCAGTAGTGATTTTCTCACATCTGTAACAACTCCTCTGTAAGTTCACCTGTCATTTTCCTAGGGCTTAAACCCACTCAAATTTCACCTAACATTTGAACTACCTGTATTTTATTATCTGTCATGATCTGTCCCAGGTGCCACCACGGAAGGGAACTGAGAAAGAATGGCTTTTTCACCTCTTTAATCCATTTAAGATGTCTAGAATGGTTGGTGAAACTCTTGAACTTGTCAGTCTCCTGCGTAGCAAAATACAGCCTGGTTAAATATAGCTTAAAATACACCTCATCAGTGGGAGATCCTTGGTAATGCAGCTTGGTAGCAGGATTTTCTAGCCAGTGTGCAATAGTGAATGTGATGTGACAGAAGAGAGTGATTGATTTTTTTTAAGTACTGATGTTAAATTTCTTGAAATCACTATGTAGAATCCTGGAACTCCATGGATATTTATGCACTTAGGTCTCTGCTTTTACGGCTGAGGGCTCTGTGCTTGTATTTAGCCTTGTTTCTGATGTTGTCTTTGAAGTCCATCTGAATTCTTATGATGCCAAGAGATGTTGTTCACTTCAGAGTGAAAAAGTCCTGTTTTGAATGTCGTTCTCACGAATGGGGCTTGTGACAAATGCAGAGAGTTGACATTTGTCTTTCTGAGATCACATTTCTGGAAATGAAGTAGACAAACAAAACTCCCCACCCCACTGTGGGAAAGGAGCTCTGACGGGTCTTGGAGTCACGGAGCTTTGATTGAACATTTATAACTACGTGAGAGACCCAAATCTGAGTGTGTTGGGCTGCTTGACAGGAAAGAGAGACAAGATGAGTAAAATAATATCTGCAGAATCAGTCTGTTTCCCCAAGCACTGAGAAAACAGAGCATGTTCTGAGCAGTCTTGTAATAATTTTAATAATGCAGTTAGCATTGCTTCGGTTGCTCAGATTGCTTAGTTACCTGTCAGGGTGTTTTCATCCTTAAGTGTTTTAGGAAATCCAACACCAGGTTCTTGCTCATGTAAAGGAGTTAAAGTATAAACTCTCTCTGGGAAAAAAATTATTCTGTGACTTAAATAACTGATAGTGCCCTTAAGAGGAGCACACATCTTCAAGCTTGCTTTTCCCTGTGACCTTGCTGCTGCCCTTTGAGGGACCAGCTCGAGCCCCTCTGATGCGGGGTCTGTCCAGGCTGGACCAGCTGCAGACCCCAGATCAAACAAATCCAGAGCCTGGTTATTCTGAGAGGCTGGTGCATTCTGAGTGTGTGTGAGTAAATGTGGTGCTGGAGGGGAGGAAGCCCCAAGGCACACCCTTTGTGAGACAGGAAGCCTGTGGCTCCATGTCTGTTATTTCCAGTCAAAAGCAAAATAGCATATTTGATGGTCAGACCCTTCAGCTTCTCTTGCCTCAGCTGCTGCCAGGGCCCTGTGTTCCAAGAACCCCGTGGGAATGGCTCTGGTGGTGCCAACTTGCCCAACAAAAGTCTACATCAGTGGAGAGCAGAGTCTTTCGGGTGTTCTGCACTGTCTTCAGCAATCTGTAGCATCCCTGGTTCTGTTGGCACCTGACTGCATCTCACCACAGCAGTGGTGATGTCACCATGTTGCTTTATTTGGGTAAGAGAAAAGCATTTCCCCTCCTGCCTCCACCCCTGCCCTAGCCATGTGTGTGCATTCACAGCAGCCTTGCTCAGCACAAGCCTGTGTTCTGCTTTTCTGAGGAGGGAAGCTGGGACCCCTGTGAAGCAGGAACCTTCATGTTCTCGGCGCTGTAATTCCAGTCACTCTGAGGGAAGTGTCCCCTTGCTGAGGGTGCTGCGCTTGGCTCCAGCCCTTCTGATGGTCACTGCTCTGGGTAGCTCCCACTGATCTTGGGGAAAGAAGGAAAATCAGATCTCTTTAATATGCAGGTTGGTATTTGGAAGTTTTCAGAGCTGGTGGCCAGCTTGGGAGGGACAAGTGAGATCAGCAGAGCACACGAGGAAAAAGTACTGATATAAGCACATTACATCCCATTATTGCTCTGTAAATACAGGGCTCTAAAGGCACATGGCGTTTCTTAAAAATGCCAGAAATAAAATGAGCTTTTTCAACCTTGGCTATCTGACAGATAATACCTTTAGAGGTTGGGGGGTGTTTTGTTTACTGCAATGTGTCAGTGTGATGCAAGTCACAGTCTGGAAACAGACATAGGAGGTTGGGAACAATAAGCATGCAAATCCCTTGTGGAGAGTGGGCTGGGAGGCTCTGTGAGTTCCTCTTGCTCACAAAGCTGATCATCCTTCACTGGGTTTCTGAAACAACTCTATCATCAGGTAAAATTTTGGTTTGAGTACCAGCAATATGAAAACTGGGGACATGAAAACTCTCTCTCTTTGGCTTTCAGCTTACATTTCATGTGAAAACACTGCAAAGAAAGCAAATGTGTGCAAGTAACAGCAAATGTGTGCACTGCAAGCACAAACCACAGCTTTTCCTCCTGCAGAGCTGCAGGCTGGTTGGTCAGAGATCAGCTCGTGGGCTGTGTGGGTGAGCTGGTTTCTCTGTTCTGCTCTGCACAGGGAGCCCCAAATGATGAGTCTGTGGTGATGCTGCTCTGTGAGTGGGCTGTGAGCTGTAGGAAGTCTGGGATGCTCAGGGCCATGGCTGTGGCCAGGCTTCTGGAGAAGAGGCAAGTGGAAATTGAGGCAGAAGTAAGTTTTTCTACTTCAGCACAGTGTGACAATTTGCCTAAAGAGTAAGACATTTCTAAGGAAGCCTCACTTTAATCTCATTACAAAAAGAGTGAGTTTGACATTTGGAGAACTGGGGATCTTTGCCATCAATTTACAGCCTAAAATTCTAAAAAAGTTAAGATGAAAAAGCCTTGTATTTAAAGCAAGAAATTGCAGCTTAACTCAGGCAGCTGTGTGTTAGCTGACTTATGTCTGCTAGAAGAGTTTCACTTTTAAGAGCTGCTTGTCCAGCCAAAGGGATGCCCAGGAGCTGGAGTCCCTTACAGAGGGGTGTGGGTCTGACAGCAGGGCTGTCAGCTGCTGGGGGACTCCAGCAGGGCTCCCAAGCCAAGATCCAATCTGAGGCAAAACTGGAGTGTAAGTCTTGCATTCTGTAGAATACCTTTGTTTCCTGGGGAAACAAGATCCTGCAGAAGCAGGATGCTGTAGTACCCTCTCTGATGTGAGCTGGTGTCTGTTGTGGCAGAAGATCCCACTCCAGCTTGCCTGAGCTGCCACATCTGGAGGCATCAGCACTCCTGCACATCTGCTGCAGCAGCAGCAGCTCTGCCCTGCAGTGGGGCTGGGGCAGGGCAGAGTGTCCCTGTGGCCCCTGGCACAGCTGCTGCCTTGGTCTGTGCCTCACGGGGTCTGCTGGGCATGGTCTTCCCAGGAAAGGTCCCAGCAAAGGAATGTGCTGTCTGCTCAGCCCAACTGTGGCACAGAGCACTGTCCCACACAGGTGGGAGCACCCCCAGACTGCAGAAAGGCTTTTCCTTGCAGAAGCTGCTCTGCCTCATCTGCTCTCACCCCAAACCACCTTAGGGGAAGGGAGTCACTGCACTGTTCCTGCCTTGCTGCACCCAAATCCCCACCCAAAGCAGGGGGGTCTGTGAGTGAGCAGTGCCACACCTTTGCCTTGTCTCTGCGTGCCAGTGCTCTGCCCCTCGTGGCACTGCCCGAGGGGACAGCAGAGCATTCCCAGGGCGAGAAGGGCAGAGATCACCAGCATCTTTTTAAATCCTTTCAGTCCAGAGAGTGTCAGGTGAAAGTATGGTGTGATATATACAGTTTTCTTTAAATTTCTTACCTTACTAGGTTTGGGTTCTGATTTGTTGCATGAAAATTGTTATGGAGATACTGAATGAGCTGTTTTGATTGCTTGCTAAAAATATGATTCGTATTTTGTCCATTTTGCAAGGATTAGAAAAAATATAACTTGATCTGGTTTTGTTTCTGAAATAATTTTGATTTGCAGGTGAAGATAACCTAAGCAGCTGGATGTTGCCAATGCAAATGGATTTTTAAATTTCAATTATTGATTATTCTACATATGCATAAGTTTTGTAAGAAATTATAAATTGGAATATTAATAAACTTAGTTGCTGTTTTATAAATTTATATGGAAGGAGATCAAACAAAGAGAACATGATGGATACTAACACTTTCTATCTTCCTTTTACAATTCACTAGAATTTTCTGCAATAACATGCTGTTAGCTTTTTTCATATTCATTGAAGCAGCAGCAAGGAGAGGCAGTAGAACTTGGCAAGAAGAAGAAATTTATTTACGAAGCTTGCAGGTGTGGTGTAAGCAGATACAATAATTTTTAACCAGTGCAGTTTAAAATCCCTTTTTGGAGTAAATAATACCCTCCAAAAAGCTTTTTGGTAATCTTGTCAAATCAGCTTTGCAGGTGAAGAACTGCTGTCCACTAATTTCTTCACTTATAGCTCCAAGTCTAATATAGTAAAGGCACAATATTTAACTTAGTAAAGGTGAGTGCCATAAATAATAAGGTATATTTGGGGCTGAGCACGTATTGGCACGCGTGCCTGCGGCCTGGCGGGTCAGCGCAGCTCTCGGAGCTGCTGGTGGCGGCGTCCCGGCGGCTCAGGGTGCTGAGCGGGTCCCGCAGCCCGCGTTCCCGGGCCGCGTTCCCTCCTGCCGGGCTCGGGAGCGTGGGTGCTGCCGGTGGGCACGCTCTGCCCCCGCCTCACGGGCCGGGCGGCGGCTCTGCCCTCGCGGCCGGGAGCGCCTTCGGCTCCTTGGGGGCCGCCAACGCCTCCGCGAATTTCAGTCGGAACGCCCTGGAAAGGTGGTAGTAGAGAACGGGTCGAAGCAGAGGTTGGAGACCGCCAACAGCAAGGTGCACTCCTTGGCCTTGAAGAGAGCCCGTCGGAGGCGGCAGCTGGCGCTGGCGTCGCCCTGGCTCAGCGTGTAGGGCACGCGCACGGCGTGGAAGGGCACGAAGCACAGCAGGTAGGTGGCCGTCACCAGCAGGACGTGTGCCAGCGCCCGCCGTGCGCGCCCGCCGCGCTCGCCGCGCCGGTGCCGCCGCAGCTGCCTCACCGCGAGGCAGTTGGAGACCAGGACGACAGCCGAGGAGTTCAGGAATATTGCCGTGCAGATGAAATTAGTGAACACGTGCCAGTCTCTCCCAAGTTTCGTTTTGAAATCAATGCATCCAGCTCCGGGTCTCTCCTCGATGTGTTTTATGGGAATAGCCATGTTAGGCACCGTGATGAAGAGAACCATGGCCCACACGACCGCAGACAGCGTCTTGGCAAAGCCAGGCTCCTGGATGCGGTAGATCTTGGAGCTGCGCATCAGCTGCAGGCAGCAATCCATGCTCACCAATCCCAAAAATATGATTGATAAATACATGTTCAGGTAGATGAAGCAGGCCGTGACTTGGCAGTGGAATATTCTCAGATTCCAGGATGCAATTCCTAGGTCAACAATAATCTTCACTGGCAGTGTCAGAGTCAGCAAGAAATCTGCAGTGAGGAGGTTGATTAAGTAGATGCTCATACACTTCTGTTTCTGGTCCTTCTGTGTGAATGCCCACAGTGCAAAACAGCTTCCAATAATTCCCAAAAGAAAAATCAAATAGTAAAAATAGGTAAAAGGTTCCATTTCTTCATAGAGATGACATTCAGAAATGTTGCTTGACATTGTAAACTCCTTGTGTGAGCTGTCTTTGCTGACAGGAAGTATCACAGACCTACAAAAGAACCAAGACGATATCAATGACATCAGCCTTTCCTCAGCAACAATAGCTATTCTCTTAGAATTTTGTTTGATTAATTCTAAAAAAGAGAATGTAGTTAGGAAGAAATATTTTTCTCTCTCTTCATGCTGCTTTCCAATATTCAGGAGAGATTTGTTGTCATGCTGGAAGAATTAGGAATGTATTAGGATTTGTTTCTGAAAGCATAGAGCCTTCTGAGCCGTATTTCCCCTACATCAGCTTTTCTGACAGTGTTTGGTTCAACAACCTCCTCCAGCCAAAATGCTGGAGAAAATGGTTTGAATCTATTTAAGCATCTGGTTAATAACAATAATACTAAAACATCATAACCTTTGAAGGATTGAAGCTATGCCTGAAAAAAAGGTAGTATTTGTAGCATCCCCATTCTGTAAAAGTGTGTTGGGAGTTCTGAGGGAATGCACTGTCCAGCCAATATACAGATATGTCTGATGGGTAAGCAAATGGTCCTCATCAGCCCTAAGGGTTTGCAAACTGCTGTCTGCTCCTACTTGAACAGACAACTTGTATTTTTATGAAGCCTTTAGGAAAAGCACATTTTTGAAAGAAGCAGATAATAATTTTGCTCACTTTTTTTGTAGGCTTCAGTAGAAAAGGAAAGTAGAAAATTCTGGCCCTATTTTAACTAAATACCCCTCAAAGATGGAGGGGTTTTTGTTTGTCTGCAAGAGAGAATGGCTGTGGGAAAAGCTGTTCCTTTGAATTTCTTGGAACCAACACATTTATGTCTTGAGTAGCATCAGACTGCAACACTTCTATTTCTATATATCGTACAGAATATTTTATACAGTATAAGAGAATTACTGCACATGTAATTTAATCTGTTAAATTGCATCCAGATTTGCATCGTTTATAAAGCAAAATGATTGCAGATGCTCCAGTGGTTTAGAAAGTTGGAGAAAGCAGTGTGGTCCATGCAGCTGGCTCTGTGCAGGTGTCTCTTGTGCTGAGAACGGGTTGAAGCGGCTCTGGGTGCGGGCAGGCAGTGCTGCTGGCTGGGCTCGCTGGTGGGCAGGGGTACCCAGCACAGCCAGCCCCGAGGGGCGCTGGCTCCTGCCACAGCCAGGGGCTCTGCCAAAAGCCGAGCCCGACCTCGGGAGCGTTTGGCAGATGGATTTTGGGCTGTCCATTCATGGGGATGTAAACAGGCTGTGACAGACAGACTGAAGGCACCTACCTGTCCTGGTGGCCGGGGCTCTGCTGGGCATTGTCTGCAGAGTCTGATGCCCCCGACCGCTGCTCTCCCGGCCGGGGCTGCCTCTGCCGGGCACAAAACGTGGCTGTGGTTTCCAGAGGGGCTGACTGACGCAGTTAAACTCAGGGTTCAAATGGCTGAATCACGCGGAAATTACCCAGGGGAGCAGTGACAGGAAGAAAAAAGCGCTCAGAGCAGCCCAGAGCCTTCTCGTTCCTGTTCCTGGGGAGAGGCGTGCGGGGTCTGACTGAGCGGCGTCAGTGGCTGCTCCTTTGCTTTTGTTTTCCAAGGCTGGAACTCTGATTCCCCCCTTCCCCACACATATCTCACATTTAAAATCCATCTGAAATCAGGATTTCGCAATGTAGTTGTTCCTCATTTGTTCTAATACTCCTGCATGAAATTCTAGGTTCTGGGAATCTCATGGTGTTTGTTTTGCAGTTACACTTTAGTTGGCAGATCTGAAGACATCTAGGGGTTCTGCTGATTGCAATGAATATTCTAAATATTTGGATATTTTCCAAGCACTATTAAAAATAAAAATGACACATTAGAGAGGCTGGGGAAATCTTTATTTTTTTGTTTGGGAAACCATGAGAAATGATCTGACACCGTGCTGAGGGTGAGGTACTGACAGCAATACGGAAACTCCAGCTGGTGGCCCTTGGTTGTAATTGAGAATCCACAGGAATTTACAAACCCTGCACCAGAGCTTTGTGGAGGAACAGATGAAGAATGTCTGGTTCTAGGTTTAGTCATAAACTGAAGGTTCAGACCATATTTGTCAAAATGTTTTCAAAGCTTAATAATCTGTAATGATCCTGTGTCCAGCTGTGAGCAAACACCCACTCATTTTGTAGTGTTCTGCTCATGCAAAGCTGATCTCCCTCTACTTGTAGGGTTGTGTTTAAACCCAAACTGCAGCACTGGCAGTTGTTTCTGTCTGTGTGTCTCTGTCAGCCAGTCTCCCCTTTTCTGTAGAGTCAGTTTACAGATCTGGGAACTTTTCCAGGTCTAAAAAGACAAAGTGATGGTTCAGTGAACCTTTACTGCGTAATGGTCTGTCCTTCCTGCAGAGGTGTTATGGGAAAAGAGCAGATCTTGGAATGTGAGTTGTTCCCTGAGTGTGGGAGGAGCTGGCTGGACTGAGGCCTGATGTGCTGGGAAAGGATTGATTTACCCAGTGCTGAAAAAAAATTGGTCTCAGTTCATCCAGCAAAGTAGGGAGGAAGGAGAGGAGATGGATCAGAGGCTTGGTTTGACCCTGGTGCTCCTTGGCACTTGTCACTCACAGCAGGATCAGGGGCATGGAACTATTTCCTGACTAGGGAAGCTCTTGGAGGAGGATTTTTTTCAACATGAGTGAAAAGCTAGAAATGTGGCATCCCTTTTGAACAGAGGTTTTGATCAGCATCTGTTTCCCTGGTGCCTTAATGTAGATTCTTGTCATTCTAATATCAGTAATCTGGTGAGGTGTGAAACAAATTCCACAATATAAATTTTTTCAAACCTTGCAAAGCAATTAAAAATTTATTCAAATTTATATTTTGGAAGTGTTTCCATCTATCTATGCCAGTGATGTTTCACAGCTGCAGTTATGTAAATTTATGTAGGCAAGTACCAAGCCCTGCCATCTAGGGAACGGAATGTTTTTGCCATAAATGACAAAAGATCTCTCACAAAGCACCGGATTCCCTTCCCCAGGCTGGTTCCCTTGCTTGGAGGGCAGAGCTTGCAGAGCCTCAGTCTGAGAGAGCCAGGGAGCTCTGAAAGAACCATATAAATATCTTTTATGCGTTTTCTTTAACAAAACCAGCACGCTGCCTTCTCCTGTAGGCCCCGTGGGCAGGTTCAGGCTGCAACCCCCAGAGCTCCCACAGCCCGAAGGACGCCCAGGCTGCCCCAGGTCTGGGGCACTGGTGCCCACTGGGATCGGGCTGGACCCGCTCTGCACTCGGTGGGAATTGGGTAGAGCAGAATTTGCCCCAAAAGCTGTGTGCGAACCCAGTGGAGGTGTCAGACCTTTAGCTGGAGTACAATCCTGTGGTGTGGTAGAATCCTGCTGCTGCTGTCCAGTGGTCTCAGATCAAGAGAAGTTACCCACAGCCTCAGAGAAGGTGCAAGGACAAAATGTTTAAAAATGTTTTGCCCTTAGATCTGTTTGGGCTAAAACAAAATGCAATGACAGAAAGGTGAAGGACTTGTTATTTCTGTTCCTATAGCTTCTTAAGTAAAATGAAGATATTCAGCTCCAGAACCACTCTCTGAAATCTTTAGTGGATACTTTAGGCCCTGGTATGTTTTTCCAGTACAATAATAAAATCAATAAAAAAAAGCTCCTCTGAAAAATAAAGTTATAAAAGAGATTATATTTGTATAGAGCAGGTCGGTGGCTTTCAGCTGTTATCTTGGTACAGACAGAAGTGTAAAAATCATGGGAAAACTAGCAAACCATTCTTTCTGGATTTAAATGTACCAGAGTTTTTATCAGCTGTGCTTGTGTGCTTCCAGACAGCTCCGTGATGTTCTTACCTCTTTCTGTACCAGCAGCAAGGGAGCTGCTGCAGTTTGGTGTGGACATGTTTCTGTTCATGGAAGTCCAGAGAAGCAGACTGGTGTGGTTTTGGGTCTGCTGGATTGTCCTTTCAGAGACCCACAGCCCGGAACTCCAGAGTGTGCTGTTCCAGGTACTCCTCTCTGTGTTTTTGAGATCCAGATGGGTCACGTCACACCCTAATGCCATCAGGGCACTGGCTGGAACAGTGAATTATTGAATATATTGGCACACACAATACTGGGCTTAGGCAGAGAAGGAGCACCTGGTGTTATGCTGAACCCCTCTCCTGCTTGTTGCTGCTTGTTATGTGCTCTGTGTCTTTGGGATATTTGTGTTCATGAATAACTTCCTGAAATGTGCATTATTGTGGAGACACAAACCTACACTATGTTTATACTTTCCCGAAGCGTATTTGATCTTCTGGATTTAGAAATTTCAACCTCACTTGAAGCTTTCAGCTTGAGGTGCAGTTTTTGATACAGCTTTTCTCTAAAGGGGAGGCAGAGGAAAAAATAAATAATGGGGTCAAGGCAGACATTTGCTGCAGACAGCACCAGAGTGAACTCCTTGGCGTAGTACAGTGATTTTTGAGACTGGCAAGTGAAGTGGGAGCTGGTCTGGCTCAAGGTGTAAGGGGTCCTGCAGAGGTGGTAGGGCACAAAGCAAATGACAAACACAAACATGATGGTGAATATGTTCCGGCTGGTTTTTCTCTTGGCCATGTCTGAGTTCCTCCGGAATTTTTTGTAAGAGCTGTATATTTTTTTGGATATAGAAGTGTAAAATATGATTAGCAGAAAAAAAACGATCCAGAAAATCCCTGTGCAAATGTAAGTGGTTGCTTTGTGCCACTGTCTGCCAAGCTCGCTTTTAAGGCCTATACATTTTCTGGAGGAATTGTCTTTAGTGATTTCATTAGTTAAAATCATATTTGGAAATGACATAATCATTAGTAACAGCCATATGATTGCAGAGACCACCTTGCTGTAGTTAACAGTGTGAACAAAGGAGGTGAACAAAGGCTTTACGATTTTGTAGTACCTGTCGAAGCCGATGAGGCCGAAGAAGGCGATCCCGATGTACATGTTCATGTAGAACACAACCGCCGAGTAGCGGCACACGAACAGGCTGAGCTCTGCGGGCGCCAGCTCTGAGTCTGCAAGGATTTTGAAAGGAAACGTCAGGCACATGAGGAGATCGGCCACAGCGATGTTCTTGAGGTAGACAATAAAGCTCTTAGTGCTGGAAACATAGAGGAAGACCCAGGCTGCCAGGGCGTTGAGCGAGAGCCCTGCGAGGAAGATGAAGCAGTAGAGCAGCGGGATGACTGTTGTGGTTATCACCGTGCTGTGGCTGCAGTTGTTTCCTGAGGAGCTGGAGCTAGAGTTGAACATCTTGCAGTATCTTCATTCCTAGAAGCAGAGAAAAGAGTCTTGGTAGGACAGGGTAGTGCTGGGCTTTCTGCTAACTGCTCTGAGTTTTCTGCCCTCACTTCCAAACAAGCTCGCTGTGCCTCTCAGAAACAGCCACCTCCCCACACCTTCCCAGCAGGGAATGCAGAGACTTTTCTGTGGTGCCATCTCACCTCTGGTGCTGTTCCAAGGCATGCTGTTGCTTTGGACACAGGATCCATTTGCTTCTCCGTTTGACTTTAACCTGTTGCCTTCCAGCCCAGGGCTGCCCCTTTCCTCAGGTATGAGCCCCCGTGCTGTGAGATGGCACTGACCCACAGCAATCTGGTGACTCTGGTTAATGAGATGTATTTTTTAAATGTTAAATGTGAATTTTAAACAGTGATTTACCATGAAAAATGAGGGATATGAATATTCCTGGTCAAAATGTTCTGTGAAAACTGCTGTTAGTCAAGTGTGGAGACACCCAGCATACGGCAATACATCCGAGTGCTCCCTTGCAAGGAGCAGAGTTTGCTTTCAAATTCCAGCAGCCCAGCACACAGCAGTGTATCTGTGTTAGTTTGTCATGTGGGAGCTTGAGCTGGCTTCTCAAGTCAGTCAGATTTACATTTTAAAGACTCTCCAAGAAGAGATCACATCTGCTGTCTGCTTTGCTTTTCCAGAATGTTTGTGGGGGTGGATTATCCTCTGTGCAGAGGGCAGAACAAATATAGATATAAATATAATGCTGCTGTATTTGGCAAGTGAAACTCTGGGCAACTGGAAAATATGTGCCTTGGAGCTGGGAAAAAACCCACCTTGTCTTTTAGAAAATAAAGGATTTACTTTTATCCCCATTCTGAGCCAGTAGCTGATGTCTCTGTGGAGTGGGTTGGAGCCTGAGTGTAACCTTGCAATAGCTAAAAATGGACATTTTTCCTCAAATAGGTAAAATGGTCTCCTTTGGTGTGCTGTTTTCTGTAGCTCTGGTTGCAGATGGTGCAAAGGCTGATCAGGTTAGGTGTGTTTTGGAACCTGCATGGATGAGAGGAGCATGGGGTGGGTGTGCTACCCTGTGCACACCCAAAGCCTGCTCTGAGCCTTGTCCTGGTCATGGTCCTGCCACAGCAGCAGCTGTCCTGTCACTGTCATCAAGGCATTTGTTTTTGTTTGGCTGGGGTTTTAAAACAAAAAGACAGTTTGGAGAGTAGGTGTTAAACTACCACATGAACAGGTGTGTTAGAGCTGGGAGGTTGTGTGCGTAGAGCTTGGGGTGATACTGCTGCAGTCAGAAGCATCTTCTGGAAAGGCACTAATAGCAAATGGCATTTTATTTAAACTTTCTCCCTCCAGGCTGTCTCAGCAGGACCCTCTCTCTGCACATGCTGCATTAAGAACTTGTTCCTTCTCTGTAGGGTTTTCCACAGCCAAGAACTCACAGGTGGGTCTGACGCTGCTGGGGCAGGACAGGAATGAAAAGACTTTGTTCAGAAGGCTGTGAGTAGAACTCTGATTCATTTCAAAATGCATTGCTCTTTATACAGAGCTTTGTGCAGACCAGCCCTATTGGTCCTGAAGTGAAAACAACCATTGGTGCACAGTGCATGACACACAGTAGTAGAACTTAATTATAAATAATGTGAACAACAAGAGAGATAAAGAACCTTATTTACATTCTTTTCCAACAGATTCCCAGGCTTGTGGTTAGAAACTCTGCGTTTCTCTCTTTGGCTGAATCTGAGACCGACATGGGTCTTTCTGTGCTTGGACTTGGGGGTAGGCATTAAATTGTTTAGAAGTTCATGAAGTAGGTTTTGTGCTGAGGCATCATACAACAAAAGGATTATTTCAGACCTGTGTGACTACAGATATGGACGTCAAATCTTTGTGAAGTCCCCTGTGTCTGTGCAGCAGAGAGGACAACCTAGACAAATTTCACATTTGATACGAGCAGATCTGTCATTGAGACAGGCTCTGTACATCTTTCCATGTCTTTACCTTCCCTCTGCTGCCTGCTGTGGAACTTTGCTGAGGTGTAGAGCACTGTCCATTCCCAGGCACGGGGCCTCTGCTCTTGCTGGGACACCTGTGGGAGGGACAAAGATGTGTCCCCATGTCCTGGCAGTGCACACCTGTGCTGCTGAGGGGCTCCCACAGCACGGCACAGAGCTGATCAGTGCTCACACATGCTTTCAGTCTCTCAGGAGAGCTTCAGGAAGGGCTAGGGACAGACGTGGAGCAGTCGTGTTCAAGCTAGAGCCTGTCACTGCACAGGAGGGGCTGGAGGCTCCTGTGTCCCCTGCTGAGCATCACAGCTCCGTGTTCATGGTCAGCTTCATCTGTTCTTTGTGTCGCCTTGTCACACTCTGCTCCTTTTGGAGTCTTGTCCTACTGCTGTGATTAGTTCAGCACTGACAGCAAACACTGTCACCTTCCTGGCCTGTCCCCTCTGTCACTTGGGGCCCAGAGTGGCTCCTGCAGAGGCTGCTGGAGGGAGGCAGGGGGAACGTGCCAGTGCCAGCATTTGGGAGGGGTGGCACTCACAGGGAGTGTGTTAGTGTCCTTTGGGAGGGGTGGCACACACAGCGAGTGTGTCAGTGTCCTTTGGGAGGGGTGGCACTCAGAGGGAGTGTGTTAGTGTCCTTTGGCACACAGAGAGAGTGTGTTAGTGTCCTTTGGGAGGGGTGGCACACAGAGGGAGTGTGTTAATGCCATTTAGGAGGGATGGCACACAGCCTTTCGTACTCAAGCAGCTGTTCTTGTTCAAATGCTTGGGCCAGCATAAAGTACATAGATTCTATGTGAATAATGTCAGCTAGTTTTGCAAAACCAGCAAACTTAATTCAACAGATGACCAAGATTGATTGGGTAAAATATGAAAAAGGTCTGAACTTTCTCAGTCTGCAAATCATGTTTCTTGGCAGAACACACAAAAGGGAAGCTGCATAAACCATTAGAAATGCTGAGTCCCTTCTGAGGTCAGACTCTTGTGCTGTCCCCTATGACTCTTCCACAGTAGCGTTAAGGCAACTCTTGACTTCTGTGACATGGCTGTCAAGTTTCAAAGTTCACCCTGCTTTACAGAACATAAGAATAATATTTATAAGTTGTTATATTTGTTTACCCTGAACTTACCAGAGGTTGTGTTGTTCCAAGTACACATTTTAACTGTTTATAGAAACTAATGCAGCTGTTTAATAAATATGTAGTACAGTTACTGGGTCAGGAACTGGTGACAGGATTGCCAGAAGTGTTTTTTGAACTGTAAGATGGAGTTAATCAGGGGAGGCAATCAGGCCGGATGGTACCTCTGCGCTTAGGAGGAAGCTGGAGAAGGAGGAAGCACAACGCACACCACAGCCACTGCAAGTTGTGCTGAGTGTGCTAAAAGAAGAACCTTATTTTAAGATTTTCTCTCTAATGTGGTAGGAATGTTGGTGCTGGTGGAACTCGCAGTGCTGTCTGTGCTGGTGTAATGCAGTGGGAAGGCTGCTGTGGGTGTCCCTGTGGGGCAGGAGGGTGCTGAGGCTCAGAGTACAGGCTCTGGGAGCTGTGCTGGGCACTGTCAGGGACAGCTGGGGGAACCTCCTCCCCCAAACGCTGGGGCCTGAGCGGTCAGGGCTGCTCGGACCCTCCTCTGTCCCAGAGAGCAGCCCAGCCTGGCAGCCTGTGGGGCGTGTGCCAGGTGGAGACACGCAGGTCCCTGGCTGGAATTCCAATGGCTGGAATTGCTGCTCTGCTCTGGAGGGCACAGCTTGCAGGCACCATGGAGAGATGTGGGTGCATTCGACTCGTTGCGAGTCTGCCAAGAGACTAAAATTTTATTATTTACTGTTCTTATTATGACATTAGTCATAGGGCAATGTCTGGGTTTTAATACTTGAGAGAATAAAAGTATGCAAAATAATGGGATATTTTAGCCTCTGGAAATGGCATCTTGGGTGGTAGTTCTTGTTTGGCATAGAATGTAGTGGAGGAAAATGGGATGAATGCTGGAATTAGGGTACAGAAGAAATAGGTGGCATTCCCATTTCAGGAGGCAGTAAGGGAGGATCTGCCAGGGTGAAGATGGGATGGATTAGGAGGACAGAAGAAATAGGTGGCACTCCTGTTGCAGTAAGGGAAGCTCTGCCGTGGCATGGGATGTGGCAGTGCCCGGTGCCCCCTCCTCCAGCAGGGCTCCAGGAAGCAGCGCAGTGCTCAGTGCAGCTCTGACCACCCGTGGGGCTCACCCTTGCCCTCCAGCTCCTGATTTCAGACCCCTCAGGCATGCTGGCAAGGGCAGAGCACGCAGAAAGCCGCGCCTCTCCTCGGGCCCTCGGGCTGCCTGTGAGGACGGACGCGCGTCCCGTGGCTGGCGCCGTGGCTGCGGCCCCGGGGCCCGGTGGCACCGGGGGTGTGCTCAGTGATGGGCAGGACGGGCGGGTGGCTGCCTCCGTCCGCATTAACGGGACATCCCCCCTGGGATCCCAAAAGGCAGCCCAGGATGTTGCAGTGAGGAGGTGGCCGGGGTGATGCAGGAATGACCTCAGGGACATCACCTGTGATGTTCTCCTGGCACTGCAGCGAGCTCTGCTCTCTGAAGGACACGGAGCAGAGCCAGCAGGCACACGGAGCGGAGGAGATAAGGTTGTGTACTTCTCATTAAACCCCGGGCTCCTTTGGGCGCAGCTCAGGACGCCTCAAGGGCAGAATTGTATTTCTGTCTAGCAAAAACCACCAGTAACTGTTTCATTTCTTCCTCCTGTCCAGCAGTCTCTGTGCTCTTTTCTATCTGAAATTTAAGTTTTGTCTTCCTGACCAGCTAGATTTTTCATTCTCTTTTTATTTCTGAATTTTAGACAAGAGTATGCATTATTCTGAGCATGTTTTTAACCTTAAAAGATTGCAGTCTGTGACGTATCTGTGTAAACCCTGATACTCAGATGGAAACTTGAGTAATGCTTTGAATCCTTTGCACACAGCACAGTTTTCAGATCTAATTCAAATACTCAGGTTTTTAAATTAAGTCTCAAAATTCCTTCTATCTCACATCAGTTATCATATTGGAATTAGGCAGTGGTGGATGTGAGAGGAAATGTTGGGTCAGGTAAGAGTAGTTTAAGAAGTTAATAATAATAATAATAATAATAATAATAATAATAGATTGTAATGAAAGAAAATAACAAGGAGAGAGATAAACCCCAAGAAAAACAAGTGGATCAGCTTTTCTGGCATGCCCTTCTGCACTGGCAGGGCATGAGAAACTGCACTTGACTTGGTGCAAGCCCTGCTCATCTACAGCTAAACCATCAGGGTTCATCAGAGAACCATTATTCCCATCCCAAACCCAAACACATTTCTGTACAACTATATCCCAGAGCTCTGGGTCAATAAAACATATTAATGTTTATTAGTTTAATTGTCCTGAAACTGGGTTTTTAAAGGTAGCAAAATGTGGCTCAAGAAAGTTTTCCCCTTTCATATTATATTTTAGTGGTAGTATTTATCACTCAAGTATTTTATTTTAAATCCTATTTTCTGATGTTTTAAACTATGAGTTTCACAGAGTTACATTTTCTCAGTCATAAATTAAAACAAAAGTAGTTGCTTAAAAAAAAAAATCTTTTTTAAGGCAGACAAGAAGAACCCTTGCCTGTGGGTCCTTTGTGTGCTGGAGCAGCTGGAGCCTGAAACAATAATTTCTGTACCGATTTCTGTACCGATTTCTGCAGTTAGTGAAAACTGCTCGTTTGCGTTAATAGTTGTTAGTGGTTTGCAGAACGCGCAGATGCTCACATTATTTGCCAATTTAAAAAATGAAATTGCGGTGGCAGTTACTTAAAAATACCCGAGGGTGTTCGGGAGCGTTTGCAGGGGACAGGAGCAGGTGATGGGAGGCAGCGTCTCACCTGGGCAGAGGCGTGGGATGGAGTGCGCGGTCCCGCTTCTGCTGCGCCGCTCCGGGAGCTCGGGCCCTCGGCAGTGCCCGGGGAGCAGCCGGGAAACGGTCCGGGGATCAGCCGGGAAACAGTCCGGGGAGGGATCAGCCGGGAAACGGTCCGGGGAGGGATCAGCCGGGAAACGGTCCGGGGATCAGCCGGGAAACGGTCCGGGGAGGGATCAGCCGGGAGCCGGTCCTGGGATCAGCCGGGAGCCGTTCCCGGGGATGGATCAGCCGGGAGCCGGTCCTGGAATCAGCCGGGAGCCTGTCCTGGGATCAGCCGGGAGCCGGTCCTGGGATCAGCCGGGAGCCGTTCCCGGGGATGGATCAGCCGGGAGCCGGTCTCGGGGATGGATCAGCCGGGAGCCGGTCCTGGGATCAGCCGGGAGCCGGTCCCGGGGATGGATCAGCCGGGAGCCGTTCCCGGGGATGGATCAGCCGGGAGCCGGTCTCGGGGATGGATCAGCCGGGAGCCGGTCCTGGGATCAGCCGGGAGCCTGTCCTGGGATCAGCCGGGAGCCGGTCCTGGGATCAGCCGGGACCCGGTCCTGGGATCAGCCGGGAGCCGGTCCTGGGATCAGCCGGGACCCGGTCCTGGGATCAGCCGGGAGCCACTCTGGGGAGCCGCTCTCGGGAGCCGCTCTCGGGAGCCGCTCTCGGGAGCCGCTCCCGGTCCTGCCCGGCCGTGCCCGCGCCCCGCCGCTGCCCAGCGCAGCCCGGCGAGGTCGGAGGATCGCGGAGCAGAAAGGGGAAGGGCTGGCGAGCCGGCCGGGCCCTGCCCGGCTGTGGCCGGGATCTCCGCCCGCAGCCGCCCGGCCGGAGCGCAGCGCTCGGGAGAGACGCGAGCGCGGCTGGCGCAGCAGCGAGAGCTTGAAGTGCTGGGCTGCACTTTGCTTTTCCCAAACTGTTCCCAGCGCTGGCTGCGACCTTTGCTGTGACGCATCCTGCCCCGAGAGCCGCGGCTCTGTGCAGGGGAGGGCTTGAACTGGAGCCATGGGCTTTCGTGGTGCCTGCTTGGGCTGGGAGATGGATTCTGGAGATACGTGATGTGTCTTTAGTGTTTGCCGTTTCCTTTCTCTCCTTTTTTTGTGCTATTCTTTTCTTTTTATCTTAAACACCTGCTTGGCTTCCTCCCTTCCCGTTCCTCCCCAAAATTTTCTGTGAGTCTTTGAAATCAAGCACAGAATTAGCAGAAATATATGGTAATAGAAGAGCTAATATCTTCTCTGTGAATGTAGGAAAGGAGTATATTTTGAGAGAGAGATGAGGTTTGGAGAAATAAATTGAGGTTTAAATGTTTATTTTAAAATTGTGAAATACGTACATTGTGTACCTTAGAACAAGTCAACATTTAGTGCAGGACTTGAGCTCTGCTTGAAAATGTGTCACCTAAACCCTACACAATATACACAATTCCTCATGGACTTTGCTTCTGTGAGGTTTTTTGTGTAGAAGAAGGGCCCAAAGGCACAGGGAAACACACGTGCCTTCTCCCTGCGTGTTGCTGACATATCCACATCCATGGTGTGGGGCCACTGTGAGTTACCCTAAACCTCTAGCCTCTTCCTTCCCCCAAATTTCATTGAATGTCTCTCAGTGCAATATGGAGGAATCTTGAGAGGCAGAATTGTCTGCACATTCTAGTCAGGACTCCTGCCCCTCTCTCTGTCCTGAGACTCACAGCTCAAAGCTGTAGTGGTCAATCCACGGCTTTGGGGTGATGGGTTTGGGTGTTGGCTGCATTGACAATTTTGTACTTTCCCTATGGATCAGGCAGAACAAATGGTGCACGAGGTTTCTCAGGTGCTCCCCAGAAGACACCAGTCAGCCAAGCTCTTCCTCTCTTCCCGTGCACCCTACGGTCATTTCTTGAAGCAGGGATGGGAGGAGGGAATCAGATAAGGCTTTGGTTTAAAAACCATGGGCTCTCTAAGGCATGAGAAGCCACAAAGAAGAGGCAGTGCAGCGTTCTCCAGTGAAAGATGCCAGTCTGTGATGGATTAAATGTTGCGGCACAGATAATTTTTTGCAGTTAGAAGTAAGCAGTTGTCCAGGACAGAGGATTAAGGGCTTAAAGAGTGGGTGGGGTGCCTGAGCTCTGTGTACAGCTTCACCCCCTTGGAATGACTCTGGCCAGCAGGACAAACCGAGGGGTTGCTCTGTTATACAAACATGGGTATTTTTCCAGCATGCCAGCCAAACCCAGTGTTTAAGAATCTCGAGACATGGCTGCTGTTTCTAAAGGGTTAGAAAGTAGACAGTGAGCCTGGTCACTAGAAGGCCCTGCACTTTGCCATGCACTTTAGATGGCCTAAGAACAAACTGATAATGTATTTTTCCCTTAGCCACACAAGTCTGCTTCTTCCCCCAAAATCCAAATTTCCCTACTGCCAGTTGTCTTATTAAGAGAAGCTGTTAACACTTTGTCTGAGCTGAGCTGAGGGCCTAAGAAGGGAATCCTTTTGCATGATCCTGCTGATGAGCCTCTGTCCCATGAGGCAGGGAGGGGAGAGCACTGCTGGCATGTCCCAGCAGGTCTGGTGACAAAAGGACTGGGGGTGGTCGGGTTCTTCTCCTGGCTGGTGCCAGCAGTGCCAGGGGTGGCAGCTCTGCAGTCTTTGCTGGCAGAAGTGGGGTGATGGGTCCTGGCTCGAGTTCTAAATGCAGGCTCTTGCAGCACCAAGCCACTGCCATGTGGAGGGGGTATCTGTGCCCACGGGTCTTACCTGTGCCCTTCCCAGACCTGCTGACAGAGCTGCCAGTGCCTCCAGCCCTACTGAACATGAAATCATGCAGACTGTAGGGTACCAGTGGCCAACTCTGGGAATTGCTGAAAGCAGGATGAACAAAACAAATATTTTCCTAGGATAATCCCCCTAGAAGGCCAGCTAATTACAAAAGTATTGCAGGACTTCTAGTTGTGTTTTTGCCCTGTCAAATCTGCCAGCAAATGTTTTCTGCTCAGTTTTGTTTGGATGATGGGTGGATGTCTGTGCATCCTCATGGAACAGCCTTCTGAGCCCTTACAAGGATTTGTCTGGAGCCCTTTCATCAAGCCCGTGTCCATATTCAGGTGGCACCACTGCTGCTCCCACACTGATGGGAGCACTTTGGCCTTAGGGGGTGGCAGGAGAGGGGTGCTGAGGGAGGGGACGGAGCTGGGCTGAATTAGAAAATGCTTCATGTGGGATTTGATCAAGTCATTTTCCTTACTTAGTCAAAGTAGGCTTCCCTGCAGATGGTTCTGTTGTCTTTCAGCCACAGACAGCAGTTTTTCTAGTTGAGCATTTGTACTTCAAAGACTGTCGACATAATTTTTGCAGTTTCTCCTGTGTATCTTTCTCAAAAGACAATTGTGTTTTAAGTACCTCATTTTTTGACTTCGGAATCATACATTCTACATCTGTAGCCTTTTCAGGAAATGGGTGACCTGTGGTCACCTTTGCATTTCCTTTTGTGTGCAAGATAAACTCTCCTCAAAACCTGCACAAATGACTCCTTTATCTTTTCCACTTTTTTCTTTCCTTCTTTTTTNTTTTTTTTTTTTTTTTTTTTTACTTTTTTCTCTGCTGCCTTTTTCTCATCCTTCCACCATTTCTGGTCACAAGGTTAATATCTAGTCATAAGTGTCTTGATCATGAGCCTGATATCTGGTGAACACTTGGCATAGACAAGGACAAAAAACTTATCAAATGGTGTCTCTTCTGGGGAGCGTGAGGAGGACAAACCCTTCAATTGTGTGTTGAATTCTCATCCCCCAGTTGGATGCAAAATTGGGATACCTTTTATACCTTAGCAACCACTGATGTGCAAAGTTCTGTGTGTGGGACTGTAGTCAAACCTCCCTTGTTTGTGGGTGCGTTTTACAGGACATATTTACAGGATATTTGTATAGGTAGGGAGTGGATTTGGTTTACTGAGCATTTCTGGTTAACACAGACCACAAGACCTCCATCCGGTTTGGTGCCTGCACCCTGGGCTCCATGGCATGCTGAGTTTTAATTTTCTCCACTGTTTTATGCTTCCAACCTGACCAAGCTGGGTGAACCTGTCACGGCCACTCTGCTTATCTGCACTTTCCCACTGCTTAATCCATCTCGAGAGGCTGGTGGGTGCCAGGGCAAAGACAGGTTTTTAGACATTTGGGTGGGTTTAGTTTCCTTTTTCTGTGAAGCTGCACTGGTGGAAAGTCACAGGAAAGGTCATTAGCAAAAAAACCACAGGAGCAGAGCACAAAATAAATGTGATGACGAAAGCCCTGCACCAGTAGTGATCTGGAGCTGGCTCTGAGTACAGATGCAAATCACATTTCTCCCACAATAATGCCCTGGCATGGAGAGATCTACTTTGGTTAGTCAATCAGAATATGTAAGATATAATTACATTTGAGTTACAAACACTGTAATGCAAATCTTCCTGAATGTAAAAAGTCTCAAATGTTAATGAATTGTTCAATTGTTCAGGAATTGCTCCTTGCATTCTTGGGTCAGTTCTGCTGTTGTACTTCCATCCAGAAAACTGTGTTTCCTCTTAAAAATGGGACTCTGGGACTGCACAGCCACAGTTTATATCCATGTCTGAGAGCCTGATGTGGGTCTCTGAAAGGGCAGTGACAGGTCAGAGCCTGAGGCTTTACGTGCCACTTCCTGATAGCTTTCTCTTTCAAGATCAGCTCTTAGAGACCAAAATTCCATGCCAAATCTGGATAAAATAAATATAGTTATCTGGTATTTGGGGATTGGAATATTGTGGTATAATTCATTTTTAGCCATGGGAAAATACTTCACAAAGAGCATCTTCAAAGGCTGCCGTGACTGTGAGTGTGGTACAGAGCAGTGGTCAGGATTGTCACAGACACACCCTGCCAAGCAGAGTAGCTGCCCTGGGGGCTGCAGAGCTTCTCTGGGGGCTGCAGAGGTGCCCTGGGGGTTGCAGAGCTGCTCTGGGGGCTGCAGAGCTGCCCTGGGGGCTGCAGAGCT